AGCAAGCCACACCCACAGAGTAGGTTCGAACAATTTTTGAAACCCACCACTGCACTACACCACTGATGTCCCTCCTAGTTCTCAGCTATATCAGGCCTTGGATTCTGCAGCAGCAAATAATGGAAATGTTTAGTAGCAACAGCAAATAACCAATGCTATGCTTATTTTACAAAAAGACCTTTTTTGCTGAGCTAGCACTTTTAAAAGCAGAACTTTTTTTTCACCTATTAATTTGTGACTTTGAAAAGAAGCTGACAAGAAACTCAATTTTTTTTTTTTTTCTGACTGCAGGAGCTCTTAAAATGTGGGAGAAGCAAAAAGGTGGGCAGCCATTTCTCTGGGATTCCTGCCCTGGGCTGGGTGTTTGACCTAGAATATTTCCAAGACCACTTCTAATATTATGATTCTAGGCCTAATTTATATTTTCTACATTTCCTATTATCCAACGTTTTATGAGTGCTTTTTATGTATGTTTTTTATGTAAGCATGTCTGCCATTTTGATTAACACACTTTTAAGTTGCTTAGGAAAACTTATTGAAATTCTTCAATGTGTAAGAACAAATAAATTTTAATTTGGAAAGCTGTGAATTAAAATGGTTTGTATTAAAGTACAAATTTTATTCCTAGCCATATGGCTGCTCCTTATAGCTAAGTGTAAAGCTATACCTGCTAAATCTCCTTCACACACAAAATATTTTTAAAGCAGCAACATTTACATCGCTAAAATATTCTGAATATGACTACTCTGAAGGGGTGAAAATCTTCTCAACATTCTATCATAACTTCAGGTTGCTGATCCAAAATCAAAAAGGGTTGATGTGGACCCAGACACTTTAATTAACTGCACCTTTGCTTTTCCATCTTTAATTGCTATAGGAGTGAATTTGGGGAAGGTTGATTGAAAAGCTCAAGGAGGAGAACAATTATCCTCTTCCCAGCTCTTACCCTTCCTGTTTTAAGTGGTGTATTGCAACTGGAATTTGACTCCAGAAGAATCTTCCATTGATTCCAATGGACTGTAAAAATCTGGTTA